ACTTCCTAGCAAGTTTACCCAAAAAAATCATCAACTTCGCACAAGGAACTTGCCAGCAAAGACCTTTGAGAGTATGGTATTGTTCACATAGAGAGAAAAGAGAATGAAACTCGTTGTGCGAAGGAGCTAGTGAATGGTTCGCTGGAGCGAAGACATAGCGAAGTGCTAGAGGATGGCCCAGACTTGAGGCAATAAGTATTTGGATAAGAATTCGCTGTGTGAAGTGGCTGGAGAAGGCTTCGCAGTGCGAAGGATTGTTCGCGCGGCGAGTATGTGGAAATGTCTCAAGGATGTTTAACTGTACACAGGCACTTTAAGTGCCTCTTTTGGATGTTCACTAGGCGAACAGAAGCTTTGCAGTGCGAAGGAGCATGTCTGTAAGTACTTGATACCACTTTTTGTCATTTACCACTTTTTGATACCTTTTCATATTTAAATACTTTTCAGCAAGAAAACCCTAGCTCAACCATTTTCATCATCTTTTAGTCATCTTTCACCAAAACAAGGTGGGTTCCTATCCAATCTCGATTATTCAACTCAGATGTTGATTAACCTTCTTCCGAAACTTGTTGCTTAGGCTACCATGGAAATGGGTGGCTAAATCCTTTTTGTGTTAAGATTAGAGGTAGCTAATTCTGATTTTATGTATTTCATTTTATCTTTTGTATGTGAACAAAGCTTTGATCAATATAGATGAAGTTATTTGCTATATTTTGTTGTATTTATGTTTTGGATTGCTTTAGACATAAACTTTTCAAGTCTTGACCTAATTTCTTCATCTATCAACTAACAAACTCTTTACGATTATTGTTTCGGGTGTTATTTATAGAGATCATTTAACGGTCGAAACAATAATATTCACGAAATCACTTTAGAGATAAACGGTTTTGCGAGGATACGCGATTATATTGGTTGAAACTAAGTTCACATATTCGATTGATTGGATACATTTAAAAAGGATTAGTGAATCCTAATCTTGGCATGCTTTTTATCAAACTAAAACCAACTTTTACCTTGTTTTACTTCTTGCAAACTTATGTTATCAACTAGAAACCATTTGAAAACCCCTTTTCTTAAGTCACTAAAATATTGAACGGCAGGCATCAAATATTATCGTACAATCCCTGTGGATACGATGAAACACTCCCGAATATATACATCTAACACAAGTCCTCCACCATATTTCTTGGAACTTCCAGTAGCATTATCATCTTTTGACAAACGTCCTTCACGGACACCTTCTTCCAATCCCATCCCCATATTAACCATCTCCCTAAAATCACCCGGGGCACTAGCAATCATACGCTCATAATAGAAAGGACTCAGGGTTTTCAAAAATATCTTAGTCATCTCTTTTTCTTCCAAAGGAGGATTAATATGAGCAGCAATCTCGTTCCACCTCTGCGCGTATTCTTTAAATGTCTCCTTATCTTTCTGAGTTATTGCTCGAAGCTGTTCACGATCGGCAGCCATATCCATATTATACTTATACTACTTTATAAAAGCCTCACCCAAGTATTTGAAAGTGCGAATTCGAGCGTTGTCGAGTCCCATATACCATTTCAAGGTTGTGCCAGACAAACTGTCTTGAAAGTAGTGAATGAGAAGCTGATGATTATCAGTCTGAGTCAACATCTTGCTAGCGTACATAGTCAAATCTCTCAACGGACAAGAGTTACCCTTATAATTTTCAAAGTCAGGGAGCTTGAACTTAAGTGGGATCTTCAAATTAGGAACTAAGCATAATTCATGGGCATTCTTTCCGAACAGTTCTTTACCCCTTAAAGCTTTAATTTCTTTCCGCATTTCTGCAAACTGATCCTGAAAATCATCCATTTGGTTAAGGACATCCAAACTCTTGCTCAGAGCAGTATAGAAAATATGTTCTTCAGCATAAGGCACAGTGTGACACACAAATGGTGGTATAGGTACAGCAATAGGAACAACTGAAATCTTAATATTAGGAATAACATTGACCACAGGAGGTGGTACAATCATAACAGTGAGATTTCTTGAACCTTCAGAAGCATGAGGTTGATATCCCTCTGGCATAAAATGAGGAGGCATGCCCCAAGAGAAATCAGGAGGCATCTGATGTTGAGAAGCATTAACCAGGGTCACAGAAATGGGCATTGATATGATCTATGAAATCACAATTCTCTGAACAAGAGAAGAATGAGGCGGTGGTGGTTGATTCCGAGCAGCCACCGGAGCTTCCATCATAGCATTGAGTCTTTCCAAACTATCCTTAATTGTCATTTCCTCACGAAGCTCACGGTTTGCTTGTTATAACTGATCCATCTTTTTCTTGAGATTAGCTCGAGTATTGTATTAGTGCGACATATTGGCTGAACGAAGACCAAAGGAAACATAAGACACCTGGAAAAAGCAAGAAACAAAGCAAGGGATGATGCTTGATGTGCAATATGCAAATGCAAAGCCTTCAAGTAACTTTAAAGATACAAAGTAAATTGCAAATGTTATATTGAAATAACACATTTGAAGTACCAAAATCTCATTTTATTGATAATGGAAAAGGATTATAATTTTTGAAGTACAAATTCAAGAATCCTAATCGAAACAAAATATAATAGAAATCCTAAGAAACCCCAAGAGAAGAAGATTCTCCTTGCAGCTTTTTATTGAGCTCTTTGATTTGGTCCTCCATCTGAGTCTTCTCAATTACGAGTTTGTCGACAATCAACTTCCAAGCGATTGAGGTAGAGGGAGCGCCTGAACTCTGAATGCTAGAGGAAAATAAATCCTCTTGCACTTTCTTCTTCTTCTTAGCCATTTCTTCTTCATTCCTTTGCTTCAACTGCTTTTGAAGTTCTGCATTCTCCATGTCAACAATCTGATACTTGTTCCTCCAAGCATCCCTTTCTTATCGCATCTCATTCAAAGCAATCTGAAATTTCTCTGCATCATTCAAGAAAATAAGAACGGGTGTTCTAACAGCTAGAGGCAAAGACTCTTGACGCGGATAAGGCATCTTCAATGTGATAGCCCTAGCTTGTACCCATTGGAGATAAGGCTCCTGTAATACCCTAATTTTTACCCTTAAGATCTCACATATCATTTGTATCTCATTCCACAAACAAGATCGCAAGCTTTGGTTCTCTTGCCTTCCTATGTGTTCAAGATGGATAATGCATTATTGACTTTTATAAACACTACAATTGTTTATTTTAAAAAACCATGTGGGACTCCATACATTCTTACCACACTCATTGTTACATAATTCTCCCCTTTTCTACTCAAATCTCTATTTTATATATATATATATATATATATATATATATATATATATATATATATATATATATATATATATATATATATATATATATATATATATATATATATATATATATATATATATATATATATATATATATATATATATATATATATATATATATATATATATATATATATATATATATATATATATATATATATATATATATATATATATATATATATATTTGTGTGTGTGTTTTTTTTTTTTTTAAGAGATAACCACCCAAATAAACACAATGCATGTTTTACCCCGCCACAAGTACATTTTTTTTGTTTTAACAGATAACCACCCAAATAAACACAATGGATGTTTTACCCCGCCACAAGTACAAAAATGCAACTAACAGAGCATCAATACCATAGAACTCTAAGTATGTATACAATATATTATTAGCAACCAAAGCATCTTTGAACCAACTTTATCATAGCCCAACCATAAGAAATTACAATATAGTGTGGACAATCAAAACTACAAGAAGATAAAACCTTAGTGTGATGATTGACAGAGTTATTCTCCATCCAGATCTAAAGTGAACAGAGAACTTATGACTTTAGTTAGAATACTGCAGCTTATTTAGTATACCAATTCTCCTAATACTAAGCAATGTATAGTAATACACTTTCAGAATAAGTTTGAAGAATGCTGCGTGTTATTTAAGTTGTTTGTGTGGATTAGAATATCAAAATCATAAGCAGATAGAGGTTTGTCTCTTAATATGGCTTTTATCATCTTCATGGACGGTCATTGCTCGAATTCAACCTTTCCAATCCTAGGATTGGTGACTTCAAATGAACAGGGTAGGTTAAAATCTCTTTCGTTGAGCTATGTATCATAACTTGCAGATACTCAACTTCCATTTTAGGTGCATTGCAAGTTCCATCGAAGTTTCACTCCATCAGCTTCAGTTTATGATAGAGATCTAAGTAGTCATAAGGATATATGGAGTCCCACATGTTTTTTCTATAACTTTAATGTTTATAAAAGTCAATAATACATTACTCAATATCTATATCTTAGACACAAGCTTGAAATGGATGTTATTATAAATTTGGCTTAGGCCTAGTAACTCTTTTCAAAATTTAAATAATTAACTTCTAAAAATATTAATTTTTTTATTATTAATAATCTATTGCGCACACTGACAGGTAAAAGGTTGAATGCAAAAGCAGGCTAATGTATGATAGTTTTGATAATTATTCTACATCATATCCAAGAGTTGGCCATTGAGCTACAACAGCTCAATTTATTTCTCTTTTATGATGCTTATAGTTCTCTTTTTACAGTTGTGATCATAATGCAGAGGGAAGAGGATCTAGTTTTCTTACTTGCATAAATTTTTAGTTTGTAATTGTCTAGTTTGTGGTTGCCAAGCCTTTTTTTTCTTTCTTCAGGTTACCACTGTTGATATGTTAAAAACATATATCATTATTGACATGATATATTAGATTCAAAAAAAAAAATGCAATAACACCCAGATAATGAAAACAACCGCTCATATTATCGTGTGAATTGAAGTTAAAAAAGAATATATTAACCTCAGTGTATCCTACCTACCAAACATGGTTCTAATAAAATCTAGCTTAAGGTTGTGAGAATCCAACCTGATAATAGGAAGAACAAAAAATGAAAGGTTGTTGCAACATTCAAAGAGTTTAGAAGAACATGATATTATATTACAGAAGTATAACAAGCCAAATTAATAATGGGGAAGTCTATCCAACGGTTTCACTCCTGCTACGGCACTGAGTTCCTTTCTGGAATATTTTTCATAAGCCACTGTTAACTTTCCCTTCCCAGCAGCTTTATGGAATTTCAACATCATATCAGCACAATCCCTGCAAAATGGAATTTCAACATCATTTCAGCACAATCCATACGGATATGGCAGTTAGCATAAACTAAAATAGTAGAACAAGTGCCTGATCTGTGAAACGTCATAACGTGCATGCTTTTGAAGTAGTGGTGTCCATGATGGGGTTATTTGCAGCGTACAACGTGCAAGATAGAGAGCTGATGCACATAGTAACGAAGGCTTGAATGCTAAAGCTTCATATTCAACCAAACACAGGTCAATGAGAAAGAATGCCATGTGTTCCAGCTGTGAAAATAAATTAGAAACAAAATATTAGAAATCAAACACATTGTTATCATGCATAAAAGTTCAATTAAAATGAGCAATTTCTCATCCAAAATAACTGGTCATATGTCTCCAAGTTTTGCATGCTGAATTAAATACCTTCTTATTTGATTGTGCAGCCTTGATAAACCTAACCATAAAAACATAAGGAGTGGGAGCATTAAGACGGAACTTCAATTTTCTAAGAATAAGCTTTTCCTGAAAAGAAAAACCCATTTCACGCATTAGCATTAGAATATAATCGTATGAACCATGTTGAACCTTCTAAGCGCAAATTAAAACAGAAAATTGAACAAAACCAGCAAGATTTTGGAACTCATACACTGCATATGTTGAACCTTGTTGAACCTTCTAAGCGCAAATTAAAACAGAAAATTGAACAAAACCAGAGAGATTTTGGAACTTATCAACTGCATAAGACCCCCCATGTTGAACCTTCTAAGCGCAAATTAAAACAGAAAATTGAACAAAACCAGCGAGATTTTGGAACTTATCAACTGCATAAGACCCCCATGTTGAACCTTGTTGAAACTTCTAAGTGCAAATTAAAACAAAAAATTGAACAAAACCAGCAAGATTTTGGAACTTATCATCAACTGCATAAGACCCCCATGTAGCCGGTAGAACTGGATTGGTTGTATCAAAATGGACCAGATGTGGAACATAATACACTATTCAAAAGGCACTGACACTCTCCCAAATAACCCAAACCAACTGCAAGCCTTTCGAAGTTAGTTTCCCACTTTCTCTCCTAGTGGGGGTTAACCTCTGCTCCTTGTCTATTTCTCTGGTTGTAGATCAATTTGTTTATTTCCCAATTTAAGCTGTTTGTTATTTTGGATAACTATGCATGAAATGTACCGAGATCATTCTCAAAGTTAAACATTACAAGAACTAAGAATTGCTTACCATTCCAAGCATTTGATCTCTAGTATAAGTTTCAGCCGAGATGCTAATCAAATCCTTTACCTGGAACAAAATGAGACAAAATAAAAATTAGAACCATCATAATGAATCACACCCTCTTTTCTTCAAAATAAATGTTTGAAATGACTTCTAACCCTTGGATGCCAAAAGTCTTCATACTTTGAAGCCAGTAAAAGTGCTGTAAGACCAACTAACTGCATGTCACTCGTTTTTACAGTCACTTGAGAAAGATATTGATCCAACAATGTCACTGTCAGATATAGTGTTTCTGGCATCAAATCATATTTGAAGTGTACCTGTAAAAAAAAAAACAAGAAATAGGCAAAGAAAATAACTACTGAGGTTGGATCTACAAAATAAATACTATCAGCAAAAGAGGGAAAAGGACTGAACATATATATAAAGAAAGGACAAGGATAAAAGAAAATAAATCTTAAGGGTGATGGAAATTAATTATATACCTCAATTAGCCAGTTGACCAATACTCCTCGCATATGAGGAGTAATCTCTGTCTGAATCGACATGTAATTCGACAGAGCTTGACTATGTGCCTGCCATTGAAAGCAATTTTAAAAAATAAAATACAAACAATAGTTGAAATTAAAGAAAAATATATTATATAACATACTAAGGCTTTTGTTTGAGAGTTTGGAGGGAAGGATGAAGTGAAAACAATGGAGGGATTTAGGTGGAGAAGGTTTTGGGGGGTTAAATTTTCTCATAATACAAAAATCCTCTAGTTTGGCGGAATTCAAATTGTACTCGAGGAGAGACTTGGAGGGTTTAGATAAATTCTTCAATTATAATCTATGTTATAATATTAGGAAAACTAAAAATATATTAATAATAATCATTCATTTATCATTCTATATAAAATTATTCTTTCAAGAAATATTTAAGATTTCCATATTTTTTCTTCAAGTCTCCTTTCTTCAAAGCCTTTCCTTCCCCTCCCCCCTCCTAACTCGCAAATAGAGCCTAAAATTAGTACATGGAAAACTAAAAGATAGTGGCAGCATTATGATTATGCCAGGCATCAAAATCATTGAAACCATGGCACAACTAAAGAACTATATTACCTCACGATTTATGATACGATAACCATCTAGTAATAACATATGGGATCAAAAGTGACATCAAAATACAATTTGTGCCTCATTCATGTTCACAACTTTGGAGCTCCAACTCCAATATACATGGATAACAAATGTATACATTGACTATAGTGACTATAAGGTATGATTGGTATGTATTGTACGCATTAGCTATGATAATTCCTGCTCGATTGGGATGACTTCCAGCCATAAGCCCATACCCTTCAAGAGGAGCGACAAAACAAGCTACCAAGTGACATCCACTAAAGGTCCAATTGTAAGGTCTTTAAAAGCACACATCTCAAGGTTCAGATTCTTTTATGTAATATTATTGACCAATTCTATAATCAGGAAAATTAATCAAAAAAAAAATGGGTGTCTTCTGTGGTAAACAAAAATTTTCAATCTGTGAGCAAGTGAAATCAGAAACTTATCAATATTACCTCGGTGACCCAATAGTAATGATATATATCATCAATATACTCAGAAACTTCTAGATGATTACATTCATCATCTATATTTGGTAGGCTATCCTGCTTCCTGACTTCACCATTTTCCTTGAGAATCTGCAAATTAAGACTTACTCTCATTTTTTATTTTTTGGGACCTTAAAAAAAGTGGTTTAATGCATTGAACTAGATTGATACCTTAGATTTTTCAATTAGTGAAGTTGTATAAGATTTCCGACGGCTGGAACTTTTTCTTGGAATCAACTCTGACAAATCTGAGTTTAGACTACCATCTCTATCAGTTGGTTGATGTCTTTGATTTGCACCATCGGAAATGACCACTGAACTATTCTCAGGAAGAGAGAAAGAAATGCTTTCCTCATCTTTAGGAAGAGACGAAGAAACGTTTTTCTCACCCTTAGGAAGTGAAGAAGAAATCTTATCCTCATCCTTGGATGCTACGGCAGTAGTTGGTTTTGATTTGTTCTGATCGGCTATGGATTTAGATTTTAAAGTCCTCTGAGATGTACAAGCCTTGAGTGTGGTCTTAACAATAGGCTAGTTACAAAATGGAAAGAAAAAAAAAATCAGGTTCCACTATTAGAAAGGTACTTTTAAAGTTATTAAACAATAAACGTAAATGTAGTGGAAATTATTGACGGATGAAATAAAATCATAAATTGAACCAAGACAAACTTTTCTTACATGCACACTAGACAATAGTACAAAAATAGAAGCTTAAAATCACAAATTGAAACAAGAAAAATATTGAGTACAACATCTTTAACGAGTATGTTAACCCGAACATTAGCGGCAAATTTTTTTACATGCACACTAGACAAATAATACAAAATAGAAGATTAAAATCACAAACTGAACCAAGAAAAATATTGATTACACATCTTTAACAAGTATATTAACCGAACAATAGCAGCAAATTTTTCTTACATGCACCCTGTACACTCTTATTACATATAGGAGCAAAGGAAGGAAATTCATAACGTAATACAAAATAAGCATAGACATAAAAAAAATGGCTTTAAAAATAAATAACCAAATGGAACGAAATTCTGTAGAACAATTGCAACACCAATCAACCAACTAAATCAATTAGAGCAGACAACAAACTTTAAAGTACAGCCAACAAGTATATTAACCAAGAAAAATATTGATTACACATCTTTAACAAGTATATTAACCGAACAATAGCAGCAAATTTTTCTTACATGCACCCTGTACACTCTTATTACACATCTAGGAGCATAGGAAGGAAATTCCTAACGTAATACAAAATAAGCATAGACATTAAAAAATGGCTTTAAAAATAAATAACCAAATGGAACGAAATTCTGTAGAACAATTGCAACACCAATCAACCAACTAAATCAATTAGAGCAGACAACAAACTTTAAAGTACAGCCAAACATACCTTGGTGGAATTCCTTGAGGATGTTTGGTTAGCATTAATTGTAACCCTACACCCCAGATGAAATGACCAATTTAATAGCATATCACATCCTTTAAATTAGCAGCAATTAACAACTTTGATAAAATTCAAGAGAAGTAGTAGTAGTTATTAATGCATAGCGAAGAGAAATTGTAATTATTGAAATAGACAAGTAGGGTCAGCTACAAACAGAAATAGTAGCCCAGAATTCCAAAAAAAAAAAAAAAAACTTTTCATTAAAATATTTTGTTAAAATATGAAATCATTAATGTGTGTGTGCATTGCATACGTGTTCATATCTGGTCATATATCTGTGTAAAGTTGAGTACCATATAGTTCTAGCTCTTACTTAGAGTTAGTTTAAGTTAGTGCTTTTTGTTACACTGTTAGAGAAGAATCTGACTTGAGTGCACCCAATATCTTTCATTAATGAGTCAAAATGTCATTCCCACTCTCGCGCTCTTTTTGCTTTGAAGCTTTTGTTTTCTGTCTTTATTTGTATCCTTAATATGGCATTATCTAGAGTCATATTTTTCAGGGCTTGAACTGTAATGATGGCTAAATCTCTATTGAGTGCACCCAATTTCTTTCGTTAATGAGTCAAAATGTCATTCTCACTCTCGCGCTCTCTCGCTCTTTTTGCTTTGAAGCTTTTGTTTTCTGTCTTTATTTGTATCCTTAATATGGCATTATCTAGTCATATTTTTCAGGGCTTGAACTGTAATGATGGCTAAATCTCCTTAAAGAATATGAGTATCTATTTCAATAATAAATGTAACAAGCCCAAAATTCATAAAACCCAAGATCACTACATTAAAACTTTGTTCTTAATGTTGTGTTTTCTTCAAAAAAAAATTGCAGATACACTTTCCAAAGATCAATTGGTGTTAGAAAAATGCTATAAAATGCTTTTAAAACAAAGAATCTAATTCTAAAAGTTCATTTTTTGATAAAGAAAATATAGAAACATTATTTGCTAACATATACTTTATTCTGGTCATATGTACTAAATATGATAGGCTAACTAACTTTCTCCACTCCTCCAGGTTTACAACTGAAGACCAAGCAAACAGACAAAATGTTCTACAAGTACGCAATTATCATAGGGGTAAACTAATAATATGATTACTTGTTAATTATTAACGGTCACTTACGTTTGAACAAAGCCGTCACTAACTCGAGTCTTCAATATATGGCTCCTTGCTTTGATTAGTTGTGAACTAACCCTTCTGCCTGCTGTCAGCTTACCTGAAATGAACAGTAAATTAAGTTAATAGGTAAGTCAGCTCATCAACATTTTCAGAGTTCTTATTTATGTACGGCTTCTTACTTGGTAGACCATTTTGGCTATTGGATGATTCAGAACTTCCAGCATTTTCCTAGAAGGAAATAAAATAAGAGGAGACACAAGAAAAAGAAAAGTATTTTGGAAAAAACAATTAAATAAGAAAGAAGATCTGGCAATCTTATTAAGTACAACTTTTATGGAGGAAAGCCACAACCAGGAAAGATAAATTGTAAACAAAATTATGCTAACCTTTGTGTTATTCGTATCTACCCTGTTTACCCTTCTAGGAACTGGCAGAGACTTCCTTGAAGTGCTTGGGAAAGACAAATAAACGTTTTGGTTTTAGTCGCGTGTTGTTCATAAACTTACACAAATAACAATATGAAATTCACAAAACCTTGTAGTTGTAGGCAACATATGCTTCCTTGCAAACCTAAAAGAAAAAAACAAGGTATAATTTCTAGAATAACATGCTTGGGGTCATAAATAAACAAACATAACTTATTATCCAATTAAATAAGAGATAAAAGAGACTGGATCTCAAGTACCTATCTTTTGTCACAACTGATGGACCTCCATTTGAGCTATTCTTCTGATCACCTAAAGAAACCATTAAGCCTGTACCTAAAGTAACTGGGAGAGACTTCCTTGAAGTTCTTGGAAAAGAAATATAAACGTTTCGGTGTTAGTCACATGTTGTTGTTAAAAACTTACACAAATCAATAAAATGAAATTCACAAAAAACCTTGTAGTTGTAGGTAATATAGGCTTCCTTCCAAACCTAAAAGAGAAAAAAAGTGTCAGGATAATTTCTAGAATAACATGTTTGAAGTCACAAACAACTAACGACAACATAAATAATTTAATATCCAATTAAATGTGAGATAAACAAGAGACGGGATCTCAAGTACCTATCCTTTGAGGCAGCAGACTGACCTCCATTTAAACTATTCTTCTGGTCACCTAAAGGAACCCTTAGACCTGTGCCTACTAATTATTAGATAAAAGGAAGAAAAACAGCTAAAACTATTCAAGCACAAAATGAAAAGACCTAGGGGGAAATTAGTCACCTCTACTGGGAGCATCTAATTGAACTCCACTATGACTAGTATTTCTCTGCTCTTTAACCTGATTTAAGCAAATATACTAATTAGTACTTCACATATGCTACATTCTTATTATCACCGTCCCAATAAGAAAAACATGCAAAGTTCCACACTTAATGTTGCTAAATGTAGAAAACGGTTAAAAAATAGTGAAAATAGAGTAGGCAAAGCAGTTAGCGGCCAGCTGACTCAGCTATCATATGGCTATGGTGCCACTATTTCAAGATGCCTAAAACTATTGAATCTACCAGCAACTACCTCCAGAAGTTTACCTTCTAAACATATGATTCAAGGCAGTGCAATTTCTGAAGGACTTGCACAGTACATTTATTTACTAAAAAAGGTCTAATCAGTCACAGTAAGGAGGATAGCTGCCAATAAAAATCTAGCCAGCCACATTTACATCCTTTTGACATTGTTGTTAAATCTGGAGTTCCATTTTATAGCTACTAATATATTAAAGTTAAAATGCTATGCCAGATAACACTTGAACCTATCTCTAAATATAAAAAGGTTCTGGGGCCAGGGGAAATTGAGAAAAGGGAGAAAAAAAACATAGATAAATGGTTTATTGCAATAACAGATAGATCAAAATATTATCTGCCCAATAAACAAGATGAATGGTTTCATAGGACTTCTTACATTTATGTTTTTATTATTATTTTCATAGGTGATTTTGTGGGTTATAGCCATGATTTCATCATTTGGGGCATCAAGCACATTAATTAGTACAAGTAAAAAGGATTTTTCCTTAAGTTGAATAACTGATTGAGTACAAAAAAAATAACGTAGAATTAGTAGAAAATTGGAAGAGTCTGACTTTTCATACCGTGAGGGATTTTCTCAAAGAGATACCCACTTTTTTAGTGGTTGAACCTGCTGAAACCCTGGTAAGGCACAAAATACATAAAGTAGTAGACATTAGGTTACAATTAAATTATCCAATGAACTATCAGAATCACTGAAATAAAGGCAAGTAAATCTCGACACCTGACTAGTATGAGAAATTATCCAATGAACTATCAATATATATAAATGATGGCAAGTTGCATTCCAACCGTAACTAGCAGTGAGTATACAAAAACAGTCTCCGTTCTAACTCTCTATCAACCCATAATAAAGAAGATTCTTACTTGGAGATATAACAACGCTTAGCAGCTGTCGTAGAGTTTCCGTGATCATTGGTAACATCAGTCAATGCTTTTCTCGAGTTTATATTTGCTATCAAAAGCCAAAAAAAAAAAAGAATATGATAAATGTGCTTAGCAACATGCTTATTAACCTTCTAATGCAAAATTAGCTCAATTAAAACTTACAAGAAGTGTCATATGTTCCGCTACTTTTCTCCATGCCTTTGTCAACTGCTATAGCACTCTTTCTACATAAATTACAAAATGACATGAGAAAAAAAATAGATCAATGTTGCTCTATAGTACCCAAGAAACTGCATCTACAGGGAATATATGACATTCTGCTGTTGGTTTCCAAACATCAATTATGCACATCCAAATACATCAATGAATAGAAACAAGGAAGCAGGCCTAAATGATATAATGATGGGCCAACCCTATTGTTCAACTAAACCACGAGAGAGTCTAAATAAATAAATAAATAATAAAGGCAAGTAAAGTAAAATTGTCAATGCCAGCAAGCAAAACTAAATTCCCTTCCCCTGCAGCAGAATAGCTAGAGGTTGTCATTATTCATCTCAAAAAACAACAACGGAAAATGATGACAACAATGCAGTAAGCTTTCTTTTCACTAATAAATGCACCCAATCAGATATCATCATCAGAATTATACTTCGTCTTTAAAACTAAAAAATAAAAACTTCTTCAGAAGTCAGAAAAGGTATCATACCTTGAAGCAGCACCAACTTGTCTTGCAGATGTCCTAAAGAAAAAACTAGAATTAGTAATTTTCATGCCCATATACCCATTTAATAACACATAACACATATTCTATTTCACACATATATAAAGGAAAAGAAAAAAAAAAACACCTACTTGGACCCATCACCAACTTTAATCCGATCATTATCCGAAAAAACCTTGAAATTCTTACCACCCACTGTTCCATAAAAATTAAAAATACCAAAATCAAACAAGAGATCAAATCAATTATTTGAAAATAATCAGTCTGGTTGATAACACTTCAAATTCATAAAATAAAATTTCAAAACAAGGTCTACATATAAAAGCATACCAGTTGGACGGGATTGTCCACCTACAGAGGCTCGCGATGAACCCACTCGCAATTTTCCCTAGAAAATGAAAGAACCAAACAAGAACGTCAAAAAAAAGAAAAGAAAAAGAAAAACCCTAAGCATTGCTCCTGATACCAGGATTTGTGCAAAAATTGAAGACTAAAGGAGGTTGGGGTTTATTTGAGATGATTAAATTTGTGCAAAATCTGAAGATTAAAGGAGGTTAGGGTTTTATCTGAGATGATTAAAAGTTTGAAGTAATAAAAAATGGAGTTGAAACTTACCTTGATAGTAAACATTGAGGTTTTCTTTTTGGCTTCGATTTGGTTTAAGCTTGGAAGAGATCACACTTTGCAGAGAAGAAAAGAGAGAAAGAAATGCTACCGTTGAAATATGTAAAAATTGAATGTGAAGTAAAGAGGACCGCGTCGAGGCTATACATTTTGAATTCACGTCATTTTACGTTAATAGCCCTCGTATAGCTTTGAGAGTTGACAAGGAAAAAAAGAACTTTTGTCAAGAGCGAACAAAATTTTGAGCTGTACTAACAATTTTTTTTTTAAAAAAGCCTTGTTTTATTCATGAAAAATTGTTATGGAATTTAAGGGTTAAATATTTATAAGGTATCCATAAATATTTCAATATTTAATTTTAATTCTTCAAAAAAAATTAAAAAAAAATTTGTAGCTAATATGTCGCTAACATAAATATCATATATAAAATTATAAACTCAAAAATTGTAACTAATTTGTAATTAATCTAAAATCAATCTTTAACTAATTCAAACATATCATTTTTATAATCTTTAAAGAAACATCATATCCTAATTAGTTATCTTCTGTGATTTTAATTACTTGTTATTTACCATTGAATCGGTTGTCAATGTCTACAATCATTGCTTTTGCCAACCACGGAGCGTCATTTGATAATTAAGGGTGTGCATTTTAACCGGTTCATCCGATCCATAACTAGAAATTTGGTTTACCAAATAACATAATCCAAACCACTTTTGTTTATAATTGACCCAATCCATTTTAAATATACCAATAAGATTTGGTTATCATATATTAATATCCGATTATAATTCAATTCATTTAAAAATCACAAAGTTTAGAACTCTGAACTTACAATAAAGACAAATTCATTATAAATTTAATAACTCTAATACTGAACTCACAGTATTCGTTAAATTAAAATTTAAACAGTATTCACTAAAATAATAGAAAAATATTCCGGTATTAGATATCTCAATTTATCAATGTATTAAATATTTTAGTATCAAATATAATCTTAAATAGGTTTTTTCTACGTTACCTTGAGAAAAAGATTGGTAAATTACTGTCGCACCTCAAAAATTCATTCGAACATACGACCCTCGCGCAAAAGGCGCAAAAATGTGGTTCGACAGAGTCATCACCGAACTTTATTTATCCCAAAAAGGGAAAGGAAAATATCGAGAAAACTTTTCAAAACGAATGGACAGGAACAGGTTCGTCACAACCGATGTTCCAGATTCGAGAGTCGGATACGTAAGGGGAAGGTATTAGCAGCTCTCGCGTCTGTTGTACTCAACGGAAACCTCTTAGGGTAATCTGCGATGGGCATTATCTAAGCTTGCTTGTTTTCTTCTTAATGATAAATGCGAATTGGTAAGCTAAAAGGATAAAGACGCTAAGGGGGAAATGGGTGGTTATAGGATAGGGTGCTCGCCAAGGATTGAGGCCCTTGTGCCTACGTATGCTCATTCGGACGAGAATGAGAAATCAAAGCGTCGTAGTTCGACTACGGGAAAGGTTAGGGGGAGAAGGAAGGTGGAGGGAATTGTACTCGCCAAGATCATCGCAATCTTGTGCCTACGTATCTTACATTCAGACAAGGATGAAGTGAAATTCTGGTATGCAGATCTCAGACTTTCCAGTCATATGTAAGAACATTGATCTCTGCTAAAACAGAACAAGGGTAAAACATGACCATTTTAAATTCCTTTAAGAATTAACAATGTCATGACATCGGTTGTAACATCAGCAGACTGACAGAACTATTTACCTAACCATTTAAGTTGTGCAAAATTATAAATGCTGAAAGATAAATAACACAATAAATTGTTAACCCAGTTCGGTGCAACATCACCGACATCTGGGGGCTACCAAGCCAAGAAGGAAATCCACTATTAGCAAAATTAATTCAGAGTTAAACTCCCCCGTTTACAACCCCTTACTTAGTCTCTACCTAATGTAATTTCTACCTAGAACCCACTAGACAAGAGACGCCTCTCACTCCCCTCAATCACAGTAGTGATAAACAATTCAATACACAAGAAAACTTTAGAAGACACTCTTCAAAGTCACAATACTTGATTTTTCTTAACATCTTCAATCAAGGACAATACACTCTTGCTTAAAAGCTTTGAGTGAACAATTAACACTGTACAAATAACAACCTAAACATGTCTACCACGATGCATCCAAAGATACAAAGGGTGACTTACAAGGTCACACACAAAAGACTCTCAAAGCCCTAAACCCTTATTTTACACTCAAGTTTTTCTTGTTGTGAGTGCTTAATTTCCCTTGCTTTTGCGCCTCCTTAAATAGCAATGCAGACTGGGCTTGGGCTGATCAAAAATAACATAAATTAGGTTTAACCAAGTTAGCCTAATTTCCATAATTCAGATGCTGCGAATTAGGTCACAGCTGCTTCATGTTATGCCCAGCCCTGACTAGAGTTACCACTTCTCCACAAGACTTTTGGCCTGAGTCAGAGAGCAAGATAGACACCCCATAATCCAAGACATTCTTTCCTCATCATTCTCCCATATGATAAGTTAGAACATTTCTGGTTTAACTGGTGAATATTCACTTTCATATAGCACATCATAATCCAGACTTTCATGCAATCAACCAATGATCCACTCCAGTCTTGTATAATACATTTACATCATACTCCAAGACAGTCCTTTTACCTCATCATTCTCCCGTATGACAAGATAGAGTACTTCTTAGTCAAGATGTGAATCACAAGTTCCACAACAGATCTTCAAGTCCAGCAAACAAAGTGATGTTCTGACATTAGTTAGGACATTATATCACAAATATCATACATTAACCACTTGGACTTACTATCTGAACAGTAATCCAATCTGAGGATCTTCAGAGAGCACAACTCCACCAGCTTGATCAAATACATCTCCAAAGGAAGGTAATCTTGCATAAGCAACTTAGGGATTCTACCACAAGCTCCAATATATGAACAGAACCAAAACCTTCTTTGATCTTCAACCAACTACCCTTCTACACAAGAGTAATTAGTTCTAAGCTCTCTGCTTGGAATCACATTAGAGACCAACCAAATGCCACTGTTTAGTTAACTCAGCTTCTTTCAGAGCTCTAAAACATCTAAGCAGACTTGATCTTCATATCCTACATGCTCCAAGGCAAATTAGATACACCAAGACTTGGACCTGTAACATCTACTTCTTCTCACAGCTCCTGCAAACTGAAGTTTCTGCTTGATGTCACAGCATCTGATCAGAAATCCTGCTGGAGAATTCAGTTCTTCATTATGCCATTTAGAAGAACCTCATCAAGAGTTCCATGTTCACATAGACTTGATTACTGATAGCAAGTTTGAGTAGACAGCCTGTATTCTGCATTAGCTACCTTTGAAATGCATTTGCTCCAGAAAACTCCTCTTTAGAAAAACCAAACATGCTAAAGATTGATTCTTCAAAGAAGATTAGTCACAAGAGATCTTTACAGAAGGAATCCCGCTTTCCTTAAGTAGAGACTTCTTCAGAAGGTCAGAGATAATTGCCACTTATCCTTGACCTCCAAGATGAGCAAGGTCACATGATCCTATGTACTTAGATCAGAAATAAATTGACCCAAGTAGTGCTATCACCAGCACCATATTCTAGACAAGTTTCTTGCCAGGAAACTTTCTAGATAAATATCAGATGCTTCTAGTAGAGACTAGAACACATCTGTTGCACTCCAATAAACTGATCCAAGAAAAAAATCTTCATTTGCACTTCCAACAGCATTACCTTCTAGCCTTAGTTTCTTGTCAAGAACCTTGGTAGAATAAAGACAGATCCTACCACACATGAGTATGGTACCAAGATCATCAACTATATCTCCTTTGATCTAGTGTTTCACTCCTTGAATCAAAAGAATTCTGCACAATCTCTGCTAATGGAATGTCTCAACACCTGGTTGAACATCAGATCCTCAAGCAGATCAAGGGCCTGATGCTTGTGCTATAACTGATGAGACAACTTGATCATCAACTAAGGATAATCCATTAAATATTTGAGAATATCTCAAATAGCAATGAATCTTAAATCCTTATAATGGATCCTTCTCTGAAATTCATGGATAACCAATTAAATGCGTGTGTAGTCCATAAATAGCAATTGATCTTAAATCCATACAACTTGTCGAGAAGACCATTTGATAGATATTTACACTTCAGTAATACCAATAGTATTCCTTAGTATAAGTATCTCTAATGTTGACACATCAAGGCTGACACCTTTGACTCAACTTGCCTATGACTTCCTATTGCTAATAGAGCTCTTGTAAAACATGAATGGTGAAAATAAATCACCCCTTATTATATCATCTATCAGCACCAGGGATCTTCAGAAATCCATTTTTAGCATGAGAACCAGATTATCTCCCTGAAAGAGCTCTTCTCTTCAAATTGACATCAAGGTGCAAGAAAAAAAAACAATCTTCCAAGTATGAAGTCAGCAATAACATATATCATCAAACAACTCTCTTCATTCCATTGCTCCTGACGTTGGAATGACTAGAGCTTTCAGAAACGTTGATATCAGAGTTCTTCCATCAGAAAAATATGCAGCGGAACCACCAAAAGAACATCTTCAACATGCCCTAAACAAGATGTCATAACATCTTATAGGACATCATACAGAAGAAATAACCATTCCTCCTGCAGTTGTTGTAGACACTCCTATATCAAAGAGCACAACAGCAGATACATAGAATCCTTCATAAGCAGGAGTGAACACACACTTCTCCATAAGCAGTAGCTCAAACATTTAGCAAGATCAGCAAATCAGCTACCACTTCTCCTTGTTCAAGACATCAGAAAGTATGTCCCAGGATCTCATCCAGAACAGACAGGATGCCTGCTCTGATACCAATTGAAATTCTGGTATGCAGATCTCAGATGTTCCAGTCATATGTAAGAACATTTATCTCTGCTAAAACAGAACAAGGGCAAAACATGACCATTTTAAATTCCTTTAAGAATTAACAATGTCATGACATCG